TTTTTTTAAATTTTTTTTAAATTTAAAATATAATAAAATTGATATAATTTTGTTATTAATATTACTATTGATATTGATATCAATATTGTTAACAATATCAATATTGGTATAAAGGATATAATACTTTGGATGATTTCAAATTTCATTTATTTTTTATATATAAGATAAGGCATTTAAAGCAATATTAAAATAAATATCAAAATAAATTTGTTGCACTTGAACAGAAAAGAGATAACAACGAAAATTATTCAGTTTTATTTAGCAACAGCATTATAAAGCTTATTTGTAATGGAAAAAATAACTTTGGTACATTTTTTCTATAATGAATCATTAGATACTGATAATGTATTAAATTAATTTATTAGATATTGATAATGTAAATGATGCTGCATTAGTTTTAAAAGTAACTGTTGAATTTGTTACTCGTTACCAAAAATATATCAAAATTACTTTTTCTGTTACAAATAAATATATTAATGCTGTTACTGAAAAAAGTAATGTATAAAACTGTAATGGCCTTACAAGTAACACTTTCCCAACTTTGTGATAGAAATAAATTTATATCTATAGTCTCTTCGATATATGTATATTAAAATCGGGTTTTATATTATACATCATTGTTATTACTAAAAGAAACGATGTCTCTACTGACTTCCTATGTTGGAACATGGTACTGTATTATCATTAAACAATTATAATACATGCACATAATAAATAATATCAAGTTATGAAATCAATTGACCCCGACCTTCAAAAAATTAAAATTGTTTTGTGTCTTATTATTTCATTGTTTCTTGAGAATCTAATTTTTTTTATATAAAAATGATACATTGCCTTAGAAAAAGAATTTAAAATTTACAAATATAAAAAATACTGTAATGAATTAAAAACTAATGGTATTCATATTGCATCAGATTTATAAATTTTGATTGATTTGATAGATTTAAAAAATTATTTGATAACAAGAAAGTTGACAAAAAGTTCGTCATTTAGTATAATTATGTATAATCGCACAAAACTATGAAAATATTTTCTATTGACTTTATAAATATTTCCGTTATTTAATAAAACCGAGAATTTAAATAAAATCGATGCTATCCGCTTGACCCGCTTTTTATATGAAACGAACAGGCGTGCTCGTATTGTTAGATATCCGTAATTATTACATGCTTATTCCACAGTAATTTTCTGGCACTAAATCAATTCTGCTTTTCAACTTTTGCATTATTATTTTTCAGAATATTAATTGACACAATCGAATCCATGGAAAATATCCTTACATTTTATTTTATCTGAAGATATTACTCGAATCAATCCTTGGATACTCTTCCTTGAATTTTGAAATGCTCGAGATGCTCTTAAATGTCTGAACATTAATCGTCGAGCTTCGGAATATATGTAAATATATGTATATAACATTATAACATATTGGCGACAGAGATCAAGCAGATCTGCTGTAAGTGTGTTATGATATCGCAAATTAACAATTTGGAGATTCCTAAAATCTGGGTCCTTGGGCCGCTTGGCCCTCGATATCGTGGAAAAAAGTAGGTCTGCATTAACGTCGCAGGGTGATTGCAGTCACCCTGACCTTTTCACTTCCTCTCTCTCTTTCTGCTGTTCCTATATCTTAGAATTTGGCACTCACAACATCGCTTTTTGCTTTTGAACTATAAATCACTTTTGTGAGTTACGGTTTTTGTAAAACGATACTTATAAAACTACAAATATAAAATCAAATTTAAATGCCTTTAAATTAATATATATAAGAACATATATATTTCGATTTAAATTTTAATGCTGATGGAATTTTTTAGAAGAAGAGAGAAAAAAACGCAGACAAAAATTAATAATTTTTGAATAAATCTCTCATCCGTTTGGATTATACAAATTACTATATATTTATATAAAAAAATGTGAAGTAAAATATATTCTCAGTAGTCGCGCGCGTCATAAAATATATCGAGAACATATGTATTGAGTTCATTCGATTGTCGCATACATGTTGATTTTGATGATATTTGCGTAAATTTTTTACTTAAAAAATTGATTAATTGCAAATTATTATCCAATGTTATCAATGATGCAATTACTCGTGTCAAAATTTTTAAATTGCAGTATTTACCCGCACCGGAGATTAGGATCACCACCCTTCCTCCTCTGGCTTTCCCTTGCCATCTCCTTCAACGTGCATATATACGCATGCGACGAGAGTGAGGAAGGGGGGAAATCGCACCGACGAGTCCATCGGCAACGAGTGCGCAGTGAAACGAAGAGGGTGAACTGCGACGGGATTGCTGCGCCCTTTGGGTGACTCCGGATAGGGTGGGTGATGTATAGCCCCACTGGCTTGGCGTTCTCGTTCTCGCTACCGACGTCGCGTCATGACACGGACGTTTATTTTTCGTCGCAGTATCGACTTTTATGGGAAAGATATAAAGCACACGTTATTAGTTATTAGTTGCGATACAAAACACCCCGATGTGTGCGGGATCGATGTTTAACAACGAGGAACTTGCGAAGAGGGTGAACGTGAAAGGGAACGGGTTAGTGCATATTGAGCTAAAAATATTCCTATAGGGGAAAATCTTTAAAAAGGAAGAAGAGAAAATACCGATACACACACACACGTACAAAATACATATTAATATAATACGGGGTGGAAAACTCTTATATTTACAACGTGGAACCGATATACACAATGATGGTGATATTTGCGACGAGCAGTTTCCACAGAGTAAACATAATAAAATTGTAAGAAGAAAAAGGAAGACTAGAGTGGACGCTCGTCGACGCGCAAATAAAGTGATTAAGGTAGATGTAGCCTGGACGTGTTGAGAATAAATCTGGGTCATCACGAATGGATCTCTCGATGGATAGAACGAAATAAGATTATATCACTTTCTACCAAAACAACAAGAACAGAAATTTGAATCACTATAGATACAGTTGAGTACTGAAGATGAATTTGCGTCATTAGAGAGACATGTGTGTTTTTTATCGATGAACAACATAGAAAACAATTTTGGACAATATTAGAAAACTTAATTACAGATTAAAGAAACGCGTATTCGGAGAATAATGTAATTGCATACAACGTAACGCGATGAGAAAAATACATAATAATTAATAAAATTTATTAATATAATAATTATATTTACATAATATTAATTACTATATTATTATACGATTTAATTAGGACATATTGCATAAATAACACGAGATAATCACTGGTGATATTAATATAATAAAAGTTAAACAAAAATATGTGATGATATTCATCGAGGAAGCAATATCTTCCTTACTATCTTCTAAGTGCGTCCGAAGACGGTGAATGCTCGATGGTAAATAATATGGCGCGCGTTGGCCCGCAGTCGGTGACGTCAAGGACTGAGAGGTATGCCGATGGTTCGATGTAAAGAGGCTGGGCAACGAAAGTGGATACAACGAAATTTCCCAAAGGACGTAGAGTAAATTTCCCGAAGGAAAAAAGAAACAAAATCAATATTTGTATTACAGAAATAATAAAAAAAAAAGAAACATGAAGAACGTTCTCCATATTACTGAAGCAGTCGCATAATGAAGCTTTTTTAATTATTTTTTGAATGGCTATGCATAAATCTGTCTTTAAAGAAATCTTTTTCGAAGCGAAAGGAATGTGAGGCGCGATTCATCGCTCTTTATCTCACAAGAATGAAGTAAGTCTTTCCTTTCGTCTTTTAAAATTTTTTTAAGATTTCTTCTCTATGTACGAAACACATACTTTATAATCATTTTCTATATCTATCTTAAACATTGTAATATTTTAAGAAACACTATTAACAAGTCATTTTTTGAAGATAAAAAAAAACAATATGTATTTTCCTGAAGAAAATCTTAATGCATTTTTCTTCTCAATTTTCAGATAAGCCTTCAAAATTCCTTTCGTAAATAACAAATGCGAAACATTTTTCTTAAGAGAGAAGAAAATCAAATTAATTGTATCGATTTTTCACTTGAAAGACTTTAAACTGTCTTGAAAAATAGGACGGACGTGTAAGAAATGCTCTGAAGGGGTAAATCAAGATAAATCTCAAGGAGAGTAGTGCAGCGATCTAAGGGATTGCGGTGTATCGTGTGCAGGGTTGGCGAGAGGGACAAGAAAGCCAAGAGCGGGGTCGCAACGAGTGGCGTTCCCTCCCGATTGAGAAATAGAGATATCGTCGGAGAAGCAGCGCAGCAGGTTGATACATACAAAGTGGGGACGTTGTGGAAATGGGTCAAGAGTGTTTCTGAAGAATGGCGATGGCAGTGTTCTCGGTTTACACTTGATGTGCTCCGCGTCGAATAGACCACGCGAGAAATCGGTGCGAGTACACTATATCGAGTGCTATTGCGGATAGATTAGATTCATGAAAGAAAGAGAGGCAACCCTCTTGGAAACGGTGAATACAAATTATGCTGTTAATGTAATAAAATCGAAGTAAATGTGCGGTTTTTTTGTTTCAGTGAAACTACAACAATCCGTCTAATTGTAATTATAAATTACATTCGGTTTTTCGTATTTTACAACTGACCATTTTTATTAATTCATAAATTAAAGATTCACGCGAAGTGATTTGATTTTTAACTTGGAGTGCTGTGGATTAAATCGTATTCGCTTCCTCGTGATTTACGATCCGTTCAAAGATCCGTAAATGATTTTGAATGTTAATTTCAAGATTAACGAATTTGAAAAAAGTGCAACGATGTCAGGGAGCTAGCCAATCTTCGCGATTTAACGAAAGGCGAACTCTTTGGAAGTACAACGAGAATCACAACGCAGATACGCAAGTTCGACGACGCGCAAGAAATGTTTCGTTCATCGCCGCAGGAATTGGATTGTCAATGTGATTGCGTCGCCACTATTATCGTTATCGCTGTTTCTCTCGGGGAGACATAATCCTATTTTCTCTCGCCGAAAGATTCATCAAATTCTCAATCATTTTCATGGTCTACGGATCGCGCAGAGCCGCGGAGTCAGCAACCACCACGGGAATAGCTTGGCTTCACAATATTACTGCCCAAGGTAATTATCTTTGTTCGATTTTATTTATATTATACAATAAATATCGCTTGCATAATGAATTTTGTATAAGTATTGTAAATTTATTGACTTATTGTGTATGTATGTGTGATGCACGCTATTCGGATTTTGCACATATCGTATAATTTTAATGATCTCGTTTTTATAATGAAATAAAACGCAAATGTATATTTATAATGCGTTGCAAAATATAAGGATATTAATATATTAGAGAGATTATTAAATCACACACTATATAAAAATGCAGTTCCCAGAATAGGTCATATATATAGGTCATATAAATTGAGCATAAAATAATATTGATTTATTCATATTTTTGCATCTGTCATAAATTTAATGAAATGGATAATTTTGACGTATAGTTATTGATCTTGCGAAATTTATAGATATATAAAAATCGATCGAAATTTATAGATATATGAAAAACGATCGAATTATTTTTTAGAATAAATAAAATGATAAAATGATAAAAATAGCATTTTCCTAATTTGCATAATTCTTTTAGAGATTGTCTGCGCAGTTATTATTATTTTGTTCCATCTTTAGCAACGGTGTAGCAAGAGAATACTAATGAATAAGAGACTCTGTATAGAAATTAAATATAGATTCTGATTTGCATTGCTCTGCTTAATTAATGATATCAATATAACAAGTAAATTTTTTGCAACTTGCATCGCTATAAAATTTATATAAATTTATAATATAAATTTAATAAATTATATAAAGTAAAAAATAATTTATAATAAATTGATAATAAGCTTACATCACATATTAAACTATGATTTGTCAAAATGCGATATAATATATATTTCAATAACAATAATATACATTATTCAAAATAATACGTTATAAATAATAAAAGATAGCGAATTTTTAATTTTTCACAATATATAACTACCGTACAAATAATTCCACGATGATACAAGTTATTGCACCATCGCTTTCTCAAGATGGTCAATTTCTTATCAAGTTGTGTTTATTTTTTTAACGATATCTTTAATCTCGGAGTGCCGCGCCGCATGCTGGTCATGTAGATTAGACGATTGTTATAAAATTTCTTTACACGCGAACACGCGCAATTGATCGACTGTGTCCAATGCTTGCCCTACTCTCGGTGCCTATGTAACATATTACGATTACCGCATAAAGCTTCACTTTCACCTTGTGTCCACCATCCAGGGTGAAAACTATGAAATTCGGCCTATTAGCATAAGAGAGAGTTCACATAGGTAACAGTTACGTCCGCGTTTGCATAACATATTCATCGTTATTCGCAAGATATACGATAAATAAGAAATAAGTTGACTTTGAAATTTTAATATGTCATTTTAATATGTTATAGTTATATACATATATATAATTTGAATATTAATTTACAGGCGCGTGCACACACACACATACTCTAACTGTATATTATTATATAAAAAATGGATTAAAAAATCTCCAATTTTCATATTAATTTAAATGGAGTTTATATTAATTTTATTATCAAGCTATTTTATATTAAAAATTATAAAATTATGAGACAAATCTTGTGATTAAACTTTCGTTAAGAAAAATTTAATTCCAGATAGGCTAAAAAATCTATGAAAACTTTTTAATCTATAAAAATGTCTTGTATATATCTGCCCAACATAACAATATGCATCACATGAAAAAAGTACAACTGTTAATTTAATCGCAGGCGAAATGAGCAGCAGCGGTGGATTCGGCGTCGGCGTAGGCGTCGCCGGCGGGCCGACCCTCGCGGCCGCTCAGCAGGGTCAAGGGGTGGCTGCCCTCCTGGTGATGCTCGCCGTTCTCTGCTTCATTTTTGCTTACTGTTGCTGGGGTGCTCCCTTCTGTCGGTCCCTGTGTAGACGACATTGTTGTTGTCGTTTGGAGGACCCCGAGCCGGACGCCGACAATCATTCTCCTGCCGCATGGCAGAATGCTCGTCGTCGACGGTACGATCTTCACACAGTTTCAGGCCGATCCTACAGGTAAAATTTAGAATTTCACGTTTCCAGCTAGAATGAATAAAATTATTTAAAAATCATATTTAGAAAACAGCATAGGGAATAAAAAACAAGAAACAAATTTTTCTAGAGATATAAAATATTATTTTTAATCTTTTCTTTTTAAAAAAAAATATACATAACATGTATGTCGAATAAGTCAAGAAAAAGTTAAATTCTGTAATCTTTCATTATGAAGGAAGCACATATCAGACAAAAATTATTTATTCTGTTTAAAAAACTGGCTGATGAAACACACATTAGGGAAATAGTTATACTAAATTAAGTTTATTTATCCTTGTAAAAATTTTGATAAATCTTTTAAAATAGATAAGAGATGTGGGTTTAATATTTTTGATAGGTTTAGATTTAGTGGAATTGGGCGATAGTGTGTTGCGCGCTCAGAGAAATCCACGAAGTGTGAATCGCCACCAATTGCAAAGTAGTCAGGGTAGCATCCTCGAAATGGACGCTGAGACACCCAGTAAGGATAGCTTAGGCTCTGTAGGATGTTTTCCGCCACCTACTTACGAGAGTATTTACGGCAAAGAGGAGACTGATATGCCTCCCTCTTATTCTGACATTCTCTTGCACAGGTATATAAATACTGGTAGTAATACATGTGTGAATTAAAGAACTATTGATTATTACTGTGCCAAATTTAATTCAATTCTCAGATTCGCTAATATGCCGCACGAGATCGACATGCGCGGTTACTGTCGCGATAGCAAGGAAGAGATCGAAATGCAGAGCTTGGACAGCTGCCCACATATCATCGGCAATCCGCTGAACTCGGTACCTGGGTATCACCCTTACGCCACGGTGACGAGTCTGTCCAGCTTGCAGAGCTACCCACGACGGAATGTCTCACGCAATCCGTCTATCATCAGCAATCCACTGGATAACTTCTACGTGGATAATGAGCTTGGTCTCTATCGACTCAGTCGAGAAACGATGCCGCGTGTCTCTAGTAACGATGCAAACCTCGAAACTTTCCGCGCATCCCATGACGAAGTATCGTTCCGCGTTCCGCTCGACGAGAACGAAAATCACCGGCACACCGGTCGCAATAATCACCAGGTCGCCGGCAACGAGCTGATGAACACGAGAAACCGCGCCCGTAGCGCCTCCAGGCTAAGCCAAGACAGCCGTAGGAATTCGCTGAACCGAGACGGAGACCAACATCAGATCTTTGTCAGATTGCCCGACCCCGAGGATATCGAAATTGCTACGCGAGATAGCGAAAATCAGCGATCTTCTGGGATGTATCGCGAAGATCAAAGCACCAGAAATTCGCGCCTGGATCATTCACAAATGCAGGACGAAGTCAACCGCAATGTCGTTGATAGCGATCCTAGATATTTTGCGAGGAACAGACGATTGGAAAATGAAGACGGAAGTCGGGACGAAGCCGAAGGAGTTCAATTTCCCGATGAAGAAGCTGGCAACTTTGGCGCGCTCGCCGATATTCGTGAGAGCAGAGTGTAATTTAACTTTATAATTGTGCGTAATTCTTTTTCGAGTGATTGGTAAGAAGAGTTTAAGATTGGATTTTCTCGAATTTTTGAGGTGAGATTTTCAAGAGTACATATATAGAAAACTTCTCTGTTTAAAAATTCTTTAATTCAAATATAAAGAAATATTTGCACTAATATTAATTTTATTTCCTTTAAGAACTTTCTTTATGAAAAAAAAATATCATATTTTAGTTCACAACTAGTACTGATATTTTTTTCCTTTTTTTTTTTTAATTTTATGCAAAAAATTTTAACTCGTGCCCTTTATACCAATTTTAAATTTGATAAATGTTATACAATGTTTCACACCATAAGGTTGTGTACGAAAATCAAGTGATGAATGAAAGTTGTGATGAATTGACAGGTAGGAGTTATTAGCATATTGTTTCAATCTTATTCACATAAACAAATTGAAATCCAGAATTAAAAATTGGAAATGGAGTCGACAGAAGTTATAATTATAAATATCGCATTGTGCAGAAAATATTATACCATGATGTTAATATGAAATGAGATATACATATATATGTGACAATATAATAATTGTACGTGACACTAGTAAAATCCGTCACACACATACACGTACATATACATACGCAACATATTACTGGCAAACGATCATACCTTATGAACTGAACAACGACTTTTTGAATATTGAAAGAAAGTTTTTGCGCGATGAGAGAGAGAGAGAGAGAGAATCGGAAAGAACGTAAAGATAATCTTTAGTACTATTTAAATCCTAGACGACGACAAATATCAAGAATACCAAACAATTATTATTCTCTTACAAAATAAAATATAGCTAAAAAAGATTTTGATGAATATCATGCGATAAATTACATTACAATAGTTAAAGCCCTTCTTAAGAAACTATAACTGCAAAAAAACGAACATTGGACGATTCACAATATAAAGATATTTTCATACACCAAAAATTATTATTTAAGTTTAAGCAAATAAATCACAGTAAAATTAGCTTAATCCGTCCAAGCTTTAACAAGGCTTTAACTCTTTTAAGTTTCACAAGCATCATTGATAACAATTTGATTTATGTTTTCTCTTTTTTCAATATTTTGTACATAAATTAAGTAAATACTATCATTATTAAATAATTGTTACATGTTTGCTTCTTGTATTATTTGTAGAATAACGCACTTTTCTTTGAATAATACTATTCACATGGGATTTAACACATCAAATAATTTTAATATTTGTGAAAATAACGATAAAGCAACAATAAAACTATAATAAAAGAAAAAAACAAAAATTTGCGTTTAGGGAAAAGAAATGTATCATGCATTGATAGAAGTTTTAGAACATAAAGAAAGAATTGAATATATTATATAATCAGATACCAGCAAAGTATCAAAATGTTGAATCGCATGCATGCTCCAGAAAGTGAACGATATTAACAGTTGGTTTTAGATACATTTCTTATGTACACGTTACATATGTAAGATAACTATAGAGAATTATATAAGTTGTACACGTTATCATTGTTGTCCTGTCTCATAAGGATAAAAATCATTAACCGAGAGATACTGAAAGAATAAAATCCTGTGTGAAGCATAAGTAATACTATGTGCCTTCCTAGTTTTTAGAATGCTAAATGGAGAATATATATAGACAACAGGATTTTTGTTTCACAATGGCTGATTATTTAGATCAAGCTTTTTTCCTTTCTTTTGAATCTAATCACAATAATAAAACAAAGATATATAACAATAAAGAAAGGTATTGCTTTATAAGATAATCTTAATCTATGGAAAAAATATGGTTGAGTCCAAACGATATCAATAAATTAATAAGTATCAGTAAATTGTTTCTCAATAAAAAATATCTAAAGTTTACATTGTACATATATTGTTATATCTAAACATTTACTGAATCACAAAAACGATTATAAAATGGATCATAAAAAGGAAGGCAAGGCCAGTTATAGCATATGAATGCACAAATTAATAAATTGATAAAATGTAATTTTTGAAAATTCACAATGTGTATTTACATATTTATCCAGAAAATATCAATGTTTCGAGTTGAGCTGATTATGTACGCAGTCGATAATCACGATTTTTTAAGACTAACTATAATTACTTGGAAAAAAAATCATACGAAAAAAATTTCTTGGTTTTTAATCCACATCACTGTTCATGTCCTCGGGAGCTGATGAATATTCTTCTTCTACATCATTCTTGTCCCAGTCTTTCAATTTTGCTCCCATAACAAAATCATCTCGAAGGACATCCCATATTTTGTCGTCCTAAAAAAAAACCAAACATATTTTCACCTTTATGCACAATTGTATATTAAATGTAAAAATGTGTACCAATAAATACAATTATATATGGCCTTGATAAACAGTTTACAAGTTTAATATGTATTAAAAAAGATAAATCAATAACATATTATGTTGCTATACACAGGTATACTAATATTACAAAAATATATGTTGAAGTATTTTAACATCTATATATTATAGAAAATAGTACATACAGAAATCTTACTTACTTTGTCTTTATTATTTGTCTGTTCTACAGATTTTTTAGATTTGACAGTACTATCAATTGGTATACTTTTACTGCCACCCATAAGAATATCAAGAAAGGCATTTTTATCAATGCTTTTGAGTGCCTGCTCGCGTTTTCTTTCTAATGGTCCTGCTTGTGATAATTTCGTGTTAATACTCATTTGTTGCTGTCTTACTGCATTAAATAGTTGCACGACTCCTCTACAAAATATAACAGAAAATTTATTAACAAACACAAGAGACAGTGAACAGAAATTGCAAATGTGATATAAATTACCTTGTGGCTATTTTTTGTAACATTCTTTCACGTTCCTGATCTGTAATGGATGGTTTTACTCGAATGCCAAAACTCTTCTCTTTTATTCTTGGCTTAGTATGTACAATATGCTCTCCCGTCTTGACACTAGGTTCTCTTATTTCAGTCACATCTTTAATACCATCAATTTCAAAAGGAACATCTTCCTTTTTTTCTTTTATTTTTACATCGCACAATTTCTTTGCCTTAGCTAGTACTACTGTCTTTTTTCTCTTTGGCTTATTTGTTCTTAAAATCTTTTGCATAACATCCGCCCATCCCGCGTTTGAAGTTGATTTAGCCATGGTGTAAGTAACAAAGTGTGCTATCTACTCGGACGAATTTTCGTCACATTCTGCGAAGCACCAAGTTTCCGCTTTCCGCCATCTTGCAAAATCACCATAGCAACCGATAAGCAACGTAAAGGCCCTTGCACACTGGCCTTGCATGCCAGGCAACAGACAATAGGGGAACAGGAAATAGAAATTATCCACCAATAGGAACAGGGAATAATATTATTAGTTCCGGTCTACAATAGGCGATTTAAGCCCTAAACCTTATGACTTAACCTCTAAACTCTGACGTATTTTCGGCCTTAAACATTTCTCGCGCTGCCTTAAGCCCTAATCTCTAAGTGCCGGTCTACAATAGGTGATTTAAGCCCTAAGCTTTAGTGTCGGTCTACAATAGTGATTTAAGCTCTAAGCCTTAAGTGTGTACCTTGCTGGAAAACGCCCTTTAATTGACTAATCAGAAGCATAATTTCTTTGTCCTGATTGGTCAATTAAACGCTTCTTTATCCATAGATAGATTTCTGAACGCAATCTAGAACACGCCATATTGAAAATTACGCACGCAACATGCATATATATATATAATTTTCCTATATACTTTAGAATGTGAAATATACAAATTGCAAAATTGCAATATAGCTGAAAGATCCTTAGATAAGACTTTATTATAAAATAGTGTTGAGATAATAAAAGGTTGATAAAATTATGCGATAGATAATCATTACAGTTTATTCTTTTGTTCTAGATGACTTCTAATCCGATGACATTATTAAAGAAATAATATAATATATTCTTTATCTAGTAAATAATTTTTTTTTTTTTTCGTTCAGGCAGTTTCCGTATTTTCTCAATGATTGAATGCGGAAAAAACCCAAGTTGCATGCGAGATATAATTAAATCTGATTTCATCGTACGCAGTTAATTTTTCCTCACATTCAGCGCGTTAATTATTTGATTGCACTGAATTCGGTTAAATTGACTAAATATGTGTGGCATGTAATAATATTCGCGACTAAGCGCGAATTATCACGTACAATTGTCACCTTGCTTTGCCGCTTGCAATGACTACATATAGTGCAAATAAAAGGAACAGACTCGTAGAATTGACGGCCGCGTATCCGTGAGTCAGTCACCGTTAGTCGCAAACAAGTCGCAAACAGACACAGATGGAATCCGGTTCAGTGTAGTCGAGTGTACGCAGTTGATTGTAATACGATCTTAACAAGCCTTAGTCTATCGTGAGTAATCGAAGGAGGTAGAACGCGCGACGACGCGCGTCCCGTAAAATGGCAGCACAAAGTCGTACGGGTTTGGCGCTCCTTTTTCTGGCGTGTATCTTCGCCCAGGCAACGCGAACGAATTCATTGAATTATGACGACTCGGTGCTTGGGGTGCCAGGAATGTTGTGGGTGAAGGCGTTTAGGGCCCTGAATAAACACTCGCCTACGCATCACCGGTACAGCAGCGGCCAGATGATAAGTGTGCAGGAATTGGTGAGTTACGCCCATACGATTTCATGAAAGTTTTATGAAAAAAACTTGATATCGTATTGTACGGACATATCAAGTGTGATATCTGAGATTCTGCTGCGTTTTTCTTTTATTTTTCTCTTTGAAGATGGTCATGTGTCACATAAGATCTTATATATATATATATATATATAGATGATTTAATCTTCCTTTGTTTGGTGACAGTCAGCAGTCAACAGCAGAAAGGACTTTGTTTGCAAATATAATGCATTACAAAAGTTAAGCTGCAATATGTAACTCCAATCTGTGTTAATATATTATTTATACAATATATTATGCAGTTTAATTTGTTTATATTTATGTGATTTGTGTATAATATATAAATTTTATATAATACATAAACAGATGACAATAATATCTACATAAAAGAATATATATATATAATGATTACATGTTTTTTTTTTGAAAATAATTATTAGATAATATTTCATAATGTTGCTGTCATAAAGGATTTCTTTTATAAAGAGGATATGTATAAGGAATTAATAGTGTGTCACATGATTGCATAATTATAATGATTTTATTTCCTGGAAAGATAATTGATGAAAATTTTTTCTGAGAATCAAGATGTTGTTTCTAAGGCTTTAAAAATAAAAAAAACTGTTATTTTTATTTTGTATTAAATTCTTAGAGAATTATTGGAGCAAATTTATTTACGGGATATTATATTCAGACATAAAACATTCTATATGATATTAAAAATTGATGTATAAATTAATACATTATTTTATAATATGTATATTATGAAAAAACCAAAAGTCTCAAGCAATAAATAAATAAATAAAAAGGAATTTTATTTTATTTGAAACTAAAATGTGTAACTCTCTATTATAGGCTCTTGCAAACTATTTCATTTTCTTCAGTAATTAATGAGTGATCTTAAACAAAACTCCTAATGAACTTGGATAAGATAACATAACATTTTACATTTTTTTTTTTTTCTGTTGATCAACGCACCAATATATAAATGTATTCCTTCATATATCTGTACGTTAATTTATGTCGGTCTATGTATATTTCTGTACATGTATCTTGAAGCAATGATAAACTAAGATAATGATATTCTGGGTTATCAGGCCAGCTTATACTACTGAGTTGAAAATATATATAGAAAGAATGTTATTACGCAGCAGATTACTGGCTTTACAAAATATGTTTCCATTCTATATTATAATTGCATAACAGTTGCTATAATAGCCAGAATAATAAATAGTGTTTATTATTCTAATTATAGTAATAATTATATTTGAGATAAAATTGATTGATTATGATAGTTCGTATTTTTTACTTATTGTTAGCATACAAATAATTCTATTATTATGATTGTAGGATGAGCCGCCTTACAAGCTATACAAGTTTACATTTTATATGAAACCAATATGTGGAACAGAATCTTGTCCCAGGGAGGCCTGTACGATCGATCTGAAACAAAAGGGCGATATAGAAGATGACAATATAGAGGCACTGAAAGATTCTATTCAGTGCATGTACTTTTATACGGCCGAAGCGCAAAATGACACATCGCAGGAACAGCAGAGTTATCAAGATCAGGAAGACTCTCGGATCACTCAGGAGAGCTTGGTGGATCACGCGGGAGAAATTTTTGTTCACCAGACTGAACAGATGAACAACAATCGAAGCGTCGAATTGGATCATGAGATTGAAGAGACTGGAGACGAGAACGTCAGACCGTTTATTGCTATGCGTGCTTCCAGCAACAACTACTGTCCAGGTTGTCCATACGAATTGAATCCGAATCTGCCGAGTCTTCTAGTCTATGCCGATCAAGCATTGAGATCGATAGACGAGCAGACCACGAACGATTACAAGCACAAACTGATGAGCATTGTGAAAGTCACCCGTTCGGTACCGGTCTCGTCCAATATGATACAGTATCAATTGCTGTTATTGATAGGCGAGTCAGAATGTCTGAAGAATGCCTTGGAGCAGGAGCAAGAATGCCCGCTGCGAACGACCAATTCGATCAAGCTATGCCTGGTTACGTTTGAGCAACGACCGTGGCAACTAATGTCTTCTAAGATCATTAAGAATAATTGCACGGATGCGGAAGATTCTCGCGTCAACACTAGCAATGAATCTCAGCAGCCAGATTTGGAGAGTCAGTCTCTAGTTACGGTCAAATATAATGAAAGGCAATCATCCAATACCGAGATAGTTGATGCCTACGAAGGCTTGAGAAATTTGCTCGATAATTACACCCACGCATCTTCGACGCCCTCGAAGCAATCCGAGGAAGCTGCTGTGACGGAATCTATGAATGTAAAGGTAGTACTGAACAGAAGTCAGGACGATGAGAAAATTGTTGGTTTTACAGACAAGGCAAAGGAATTCGGAGAATTCTTGGAGCATTTTGATCTGCCCGTCAAAGCGGAAAATGTTGTACCCGATACGCGAGAAGCTGTGAAGGAGGAGAAATTTCAACGAAAGAAGGTTTCTACGGAGGATTTAAATATCGAGAACGATAAAACGGATATCGTTAATAGAAGGAAACGATCGCTGATGAAAAGAGGATTAGTCGGTGCACCCACGGCGATATCTGTAAATGATGCTGAAATTAAAAATTATGTTGACAAAGCAGTACGCAAAATTTCTGAGGAATCGGACAGTCCGAATGAGCCATTTATAGTGGAGATCAGTGAGGCAAGCACCCAGGTAGTCGCCGGTAAACTTTATAAGATCAAGGTCAAACTGAGCACTAGTAATTGCCCGAAGGGCACCAAAGACAACTGCCAGTTGCAGGCTGGAAGCGAAGTGAAAGAGTGCCTGATAACGGTTAAATGTATTCCTTCATATATCTGTACGTTAATTTATGTCGGTCTATGTATATTTCTGTACATGTATCTTGAAGCAATGATAAACTAAGATAATGATATTCTGGGTTATCAGGCCAGCTTATACTACTGAGTTGAAAATATATATAGAAAGAATGTTATTACGCAGCAGATTACTGGCTTTACAAAATATGTTTCCATTCTATATTATAATTGCATAACAGTTGCTATAATAGCCAGAATAATAAATAGTGTTTATTATTCTAATTATAGTAATAATTATATTTGAGATAAAATTGATTGATTATGATAGTTCGTATTTTTTACTTATTGTTAGCATACAAATAATTCTATTATTATGATTGTAGGATGAGCCGCCTTACAAGCTATACAAGTTTACATTTTATATGAAACCAATATGTGGAACAGAATCTTGTCCCAGGGAGGCCTGTACGATCGATCTGAAACAAAAGGGCGATATAGAAGATGACAATATAGAGGCACTGAAAGATTCTATTCAGTGCATGTACTTTTATACGGCCGAAGCGCAAAATGACACATCGCAGGAACAGCAGAGTTATCAAGATCAGGAAGACTCTCGGATCACTCAGGAGAGCTTGGTGGATCACGCGGGAGAAATTTTTGTTCACCAGACTGAACAGATGAACAACAATCGAAGCGTCGAATTGGATCATGAGATTGAAGAGACTGGAGACGAGAACGTCAGACCGTTTATTGCTATGCGTGCTTCCAGCAACAACTACTGTCCAGGTTGTCCATACGAATTGAATCCGAATCTGCCGAGTCTTCTAGTCTATGCCGATCAAGCATTGAGATCGATAGACGAGCAGACCACGAACGATTACAAGCACAAACTGATGAGCATTGTGAAAGTCACCCGTTCGGTACCGGTCTCGTCCAATATGATACAGTATCAATTGCTGTTATTGATAGGCGAGTCAGAATGTCTGAAGAATGCCTTGGAGCAGGAGCAAGAATGCCCGCTGCGAACGACCAATTCGATCAAGCTATGCCTGGTTACGTTTGAGCAACGACCGTGGCAACTAATGTCTTCTAAGATCATCAAGAATAATTGCACGGATGCGGAAGATTCTCGCGTCAACACTAGCAATGAATCTCAGCAGCCAGATTTGGAGAGTCAGTCTCTAGTTACGGTCAAATATAATGAAAGGCAATCATCCAATACCGAGATAGTTGATGCCTACGAAGGCTTGAGAAATTTGCTCGATAATTACACCCACGCATCTTCGACGCCCTCGAAGCAATCCGAGGAAGCTGCTGTGACGGAATCTATGAATGTAAAGGTAGTACTGAACAGAAGTCAGGACGATGAGAAAATTGTTGGTTTTACAGACAAGGCAAAGGAATTCGGAGAATTCTTGGAGCATTTTGATCTGCCCGTCAAAGCGGAAAATGTTGTACCCGATACGCGAGAAGCTGTGAAGGAGGAGAAATTTCAACGAAAGAAGGTTTCTACGGAGGATTTAAATATCGAGAACGATAAAACGGATATCGTTAATAGAAGGAAACGATCGCTGATGAAAAGAGGATTAGTCGGTGCACCCACGGCGATATCTGTAAATGATGCTGAAATTAAAAATTATGTTGACAAAGCAGTACGCAAAATTTCTGAGGAATCGGACAGTCCGAATGAGCCATTTATAGTGGAGATCAGTGAGGCAAGCACCCAGGTAGTCGCCGGTAAACTTTATAAGATCAAGGTCAAACTGAGCACTAGTAATTGCCCGAAGGGCACCAAAGACAACTGCCAGTTGCAGGCTGGAAGCGAAGTGAAAGAGTGCCTGATAACGGTGTGGGCGCGACCGTGGATCGATCAGGGTTCACCCGAAATAACGATCACATGTCCTCCATCGCCAACAAGCAGAAAGAAGCGGTCCCTGCATGGCGTTAATTACAACCCGAAGATGCTACAGATTGCTGAGGAAGTAAGGATCGAGCAGAAGTTCAACAAGTTCGTAGCGACCTATAATCGAACGTACTCCACGCCGGAGGAGAGGAATTTACGATTCAGAATATTCCGCGAAAATCTCGATATTATACAGCTGCTGCGTAAAACCGAGCAGGGAACCGCTTACTACGACGTCAACATGTTCGCGGACATATCGCGCGAAGAGTTTCGATCGCGTTATCTTGGTTTGCGACCGGACCTGCAATCGGAGAACGATATTCCTCTGCCTAAAGCTGAGATCCCGGACATTGAGCTGCCACCCAAATTCGATTGGCGAGAAAAGGGCGTCGTGACTTCAGTGAAGGATCAGGGCATGTGCGGCTCCTGCTGGGCCTTCTCGGTTACAGGCAACGTCGAAGGCCAGTATGCGCTCAAGCACGGCCAGCTGCTATCTCTCTCCGAGCAGGAACTTGTTGATTGCGACGATCTAGATGAAGGTTGCAGTGGCGGTCTACCGGACAACGCGTACAGGGCTATTGAGAAACTGGGTGGTCTCGAGTTGGAGTCGGACTATCCCTATGAGGCGGAGAACGAGAAGTGCCACTTTAAGAGAAATTTGGCCAAGGTACAACTGGCTTCCGCTGTCAACGTCACGTCGGATGAGACGCAAATGGCGCAGTGGTTGGTACAAAATGGTCCGATTTCTATCGGCATCAATGCCAATGCCATGCAATTCTACGTCGGCGGCGTATCGCATCCCTTTAAATTCCTCTGCAATCCCAAGAACTTGGACCATGGCGTACTCATTGTAGGATATGGTACAAGTGGTATGTATCCTTTCCTCAATAGTTTTTAACAAACTCTGTTAGGAAATTGTTGGGAAAAAGCTTTCAAATATTTTCTTTCTTATAAAAATCTAGAAAAATATTAATTAATATTCTTGATGATTATAGTTTATGATAACTTAATCAAATCTTGTTTTTATATCTCTATTCTGTCAATATAAATATAAAGTACATAATCCAATAATAAAAAATTCAGCTAAAAATCAATATTTTTTTTTATATATTTTTAACTCACATTGTCAAGGAGATTCACTAAAATGATGTCAAAATCATTGAACGCCCACAACATTAAGTCTAATATTCTTTCAGAATATCCACTTTTCCACAAAAAACTACCATATTGGATTATCAAAAACAGCTGGGGAAAGCATTGGGGCGAACAAGGATATTATAGAGTTTATCGCGGAGATGGCACTTGCGGGCTTAATACGATGGCTACAAGTGCCGTGGTTGTTTAATACTGAAATTAATTACATGAATAAGTTTCTCATGACAATTAACTTATACATATATATATAAATTGTATATTCATTCTAAACGAAGTTATACATTAGACATATATATATANNTATATATATATATATCTTTTTTTACTAACTTTGAATGTCGATTTCGGATACATTCACCTGCCAAATATTTGACAAGTGCGACTTGACTTTATTTTCACACTATCCATAGCATATATTATAATATCCACATATAATTCAGCTTAATTTTTCAAATATTTGGCAAGCGTATGAATCTTCTAGAGTCATTTAATATATATATGCCTAAGAGTTTAATCGGAGCAAAATTTAATTTTTTGCATATTTACATTGAAATGGAAACGATATAGTCGTTGACGACAATCCTATTTATTTGTTGAAAAGTTCGAGATTTATATAATTCTGCAGTAATTCTGCAAATTTTTTGCAAAACAAAACAGATAATATATAATATATAAATAATTAAAGTATGTTATTATGCAACAATGTTGAAAAGTTAGAAAAATTGAAGATATTAAATATTAAATAGAACTTTGCTAAGTGCATTTTAAAAGATAAAAATTAAGATAAAGCGTGAAAACTTGACAGCTATATATTTTGCAATTTTTGTGTTAGAGACAGCTAACATTTTTTTAGAGGTTTTATAACAAGTTCCAGCCTTGCATAAATCGATCCTGGAGATTTTTAATTTTGTACGATTTGTTAACTCAATCAAAAAGTAAAATAAAAAAAAAATCATTTGTAAAAAAATATGAATGAAACAAGAAAACGTCTGTAGTGTCAATCTTTATTGAACGCAATATAAAAAGACAACTATATGAAACTATGTCAATTTAATATATCTCAAATGTTTAACATATTCGAGTAAATATATTCAAAACCAAAATTGGTGTTATTAAACCTTCAATAATGATGTGTATGCGAAAATGTGTGAAAATGTTGAATAAATTTGAAATCAATTTATAAATTTTCTTTTCTTTTGTACAAAATTTTCTTATTATAGCGCAAAATTTATGTGAAAAACAAATTATTTAAGTTTTTTGAATTTCCGATTTTAATTATGAATACACATATATATTGAATAGGAGATCAAAACATCTGTGTAAACAATCGCGAAATTTTAAAATTGTAAAATTATGTGTCAGCATATAATCATCAGTAAAAACTCATCTATTTATGGAAATAAATTATAATTGCGATTTAACTTAATAATTACCAAATGTTATCGAAATATAATTGATTGATATATTTTATATATGCATTAAAAGTAACAAAATCTTTAATTGTTGAAGAATCATAAACTCGAAATGATATGAAAAACATATTTTTCATAGATTACTTCCAATATCTTGCATTGATTAATAAATCTTGTTCGATAACGGTAATGAATAGCAGAGTAATAGTAAAATTTTACATGTGGAAAAATAGAGAAGATTAAGATCTGCAACAATTAGTTTTTTTTTTCGTAAAAAGTAACAAAATCGACAATGTTTTGTAGAAATTTGATTCACTATCATTTGTAATGAAATCAATATGTTGCAATACATTGTAAGACACAGTAAATTATTGAACTTTGTGTGTTATGCAACAGTTATGACAGGATTATAATTTATTAAGTCGTAGACATATATATGTATAATCCATTAAACTCATCTTCACATTCAGCAGCCAGCACTGTGAAATTGTAATGCTTTAAAGTGAACACATATATATATCCTAAAATCTGTACATGCCAGCAGCAGTTCTACTCTTATTTGTTTTTCCAATCAAAATTTAATTTTTTTATTTTTGAGACATATTTTATTAAATTTTGGTTTTCTTTTAATATAAAGTATTCTAGTTCTTAGTACATAATTCAAATTGGGTAAAAATTGTATTAAAACAATTATTAAATCTCGGTAATTAATTTTTCTTGATGTGAAATAAAGTAGAAAGATAAAGTAACACACCAGGAGTAAAATTCTGCTAACAGATGTACAGTTTATTTGATATACATGATGATATTCATGCAAGACGTCAAATATTGATACAGAAAGAGACTGATATACAAGTTCTCATGTCAAGATACCGAGGTATTCTTAAATGTAGTTAATAGTTTCTCTGTCGGATGATTTCTAAATATCGCAAAAATAAAATACTAAAGAATGTACAGACACATATAGTTAACAATGAGTTTTAGAAGCCTTAAGGGCGATTATATGATCCATATTAATAATAATTGTAAGATCCCCATTGATTGTAAGGTCCATAAGCTTGCGGTCCGCCTTGACCATACTGCCAGTTTTGATAATTGGCATAATTGGGATCCGATGGAGGTGGGTACTGCTGGTAACCTTGTTGATAGCCACCCTGACCACTGTACTGTCCACCTTGAAATTGTTGTGGCGACTGATAGGGCCCACTCGGACCACTACTGTACTGGTATGAAGACTGTGAACCCACGGACGGAGGAGGTGGCACATTTGACTGGTCAGTTTTCACTTTCTTCGGAGGCGAAGAATCGCTGCAATATATGAACATTATAACGTCATTCTTTATTAAAAGTGCAATTATAATATACTTTTAAAAAAATTCTGTAAATATAAAAATATTTATAATATATAGTTATTTTAATCAATCAATTTCAATAAAACAGGAATGATATATTAGTTATATTTATAATAGTAATATTTATGTTTCAGATTAATCAACGTGGTTGTTAAAATTATATTATTTGATAAAAATTGCCTAAAATTATTTTGTAAGATTAGCTAATGTCTTCATTGTAGATTCTCTGCAAGTACACTTACGTTTTATTGTCCTCGCCCTTCGTCTTCTTCCTTTCTTTCGCTTGTTTGATGCATTTCTGGAATTGTTCGTGAGCTTTCAACACTTGCCGAATGTCGGGACTAAAATCCTCTAGGAATTCTACTTTACGTTGTGCGAAAAGTACTCTCTGTTCGAGATCCGCATGTTCTCTTTCTATAAACATGTCCATGTAACCTACTATTTCTAGGGTGTCGACTGGCGTTCGCTGCATTGCCAAGTCTATTAACTGCAGATATAATCTAGGATTATCTTTGTCTTTATCCGTGGCCTGTAAGTAATGCGACAGTAATATATTAATCTCGCCAAATGCAGGTTTGTCGGCATATAGATAGTTGATAAAAAAAGTAATTTTGTTTTTAAACATACCTTCATTAATACTTTGATCGCCTTATCAACATCATTCTTAACTTTACATAGGAACCGCGCGTATTTCACGACGATATTGTTAGCAATTGTTCGGTTCTTGCTATTGCTAATGTAATTCTCGTATAATGTACATGCTTTCTCCAAGTCTCCACGACGACGTTCCAAGTTTATTCGTCGGTATGCCACTTGTAACATATTTGGTAATGCATTATCAATATTTTCTAATATAGCGGCGGCTTTCTCGAAGTTATCCTGACCCTCTTCGAAGATCGCCCATTGCAAATGCAAATTCGGTTTCTTGGGATGATGCACCATACAAGCTCTCGAATATACGTCTCGGATTTTTTCTGTGTTATCACCCTTCAATGATTCCAAGTAGCGTACAAACTGTACAAAGGGAAAGAAAGCAAATATATATATTGTTTATAAGATTACAGCAATATATATATAGGGATATTTACTTACTCGCATCCAAAACTCATCATAAAGTGCACAAGCTATAAGACATCTTTCGAATAAGATAATTATTCGATTTTGATCCTTTTGTTCAATTTCAAAATCGAGATATTCCTTCCAGTTTTTCAACTGGCACCGTTCTAATGGTTTTACATGGAAATAGGGTCTCTTTATCTGTTAATCATACAAACCATGCCATATTACCATATAGATTTTATAAATTAATTCAAATTTTATTTGTTCAATGTGATATCAATTTATTTGAGATCTTTTAATTTGGAATATATTTTTTTTTTACTTACTATGCAAAACATTGTAAAAGATTGACTTTTGTATTACAATGGATCCACATTTACTGCGTGAATAGGTAATTCTAGAACTTCAGTGAGAGGGAGTTTTATTCATTTACAGCAGTGAAACGTTTCAGTGCAATGAAATTGAGAAGTCTAATTTTATTCAATATCTATAAATTTAGTTTTTATGAGTATATATAATTGCATATGAATGCATGATACGCACCCCTTCCTCATAGGACCACCTCGCTGCCACCGCATTGACGTTCGCCTTGTGCATTTTGCGTCTGCTGCTGATGATCTTCTCACGGATGGCACGTGTCTCTTCATCGGTAGGCGGTACTTCATGGGGCGGCGGTTCCTCGCCGGGTGGCGCATCATCGGCAGCGGATGTTGCGGTGGTATCGTCCGACTTGAGGAGGGCTTTCACTTCAGCACGCAGCGCGAGGAAATCATCAACACTTAGGATGCGATTCGGTAAATTGGACGATACGAATTCCTGGAATGCCTCGAAGTGGGAAATGTAGCCAAGGGTAGGCGTCGATAATAAGCGATCATACAACGCTGTTACTCTGCTCAAACGTTTTCCCTCCAATTCCCACTTTATATAGCTCTCCCAGAGACGATCTGATCTGTTTTACATGGAAATATTACGTTACTCGATTATTTCCTGCTAATAATTTATTATTAGGATTATATTTGCTTATTGCAAAAAAATACTAAAATACTAAAATACTAAAGCAATAATTTAATTATTTTTGATAAAATTATATTGATTAGTGGAAATATTTATATTTCTAAATGCAAATTTAGAAGAAATTTTTAAATTTGTTACCTGAATTCAAGTCCACAAGCTTGTATAGCTCTTTCATACTGCTCCCGGAGCTTTTCTTCATCCTTTTCGTAGACGGTTTTACAGTGGTTGATGTAATGGAGCCATAGGTCGACACTTAGCGAAATAGCTTTCAGACCTTGATCGAACACCTGCGGTAACGGATTTCCGGATCGTATTTTAGAACAGCTTACAACTGGGTTGGACTTATCGGCGGGTAAATCTTATACCTATTTTGCTTTTAGCTTTCGTTAAGCATTATGGTTTTTTTTTTCTTTTTAGCAACGTGTACTCACATATCGTACGCGTACTGTAAATAAAAAGATTTAATTAACACAGAGATTTCAGAGCATTGTGCATTCACCTTAAAAGTCAGGGGGTGTTCCGATCTGGGCGCCACTGTGTCTTCCGCCACATTCTCTTGTTCCCTCTCTGGCACGTGCACGTGTCCTAAGTCTTTGTCTCTGACTTTGACTTAACCCCCAACCCGACATATCTTACTTACATAAAGTAAGAATAGCGCATATATCTTATGCTTAAGTTTTACAATACTTTCTGTAGTAAGCTATGTGTATACAAATGCTTACATAAATATAACACAGTTTTTCTTTTTTTAATCAAGACAAGGCGCTTCGCAAAATAAATTGGAAACAACTAGCTCATCATCTCGCTCGACATACGTATTGTAATTGATATATATATCGGTAAGATAATAAAATATGTAATATAGCATTTTTTTGTATCGCAGAATAATAAGTAAATAAATAACTATATTATAAACGAAGAGAGTCGAATAGGTGCCGCAAGACGTGCTATGCTGTTGGAAGGGAAAACCATATTTATGTGCGTGCACACTGCCCACGCGTCTTCCTAACTCGAGCTATTTTCATTATAGATTAATATTATAATGATATCATATGTGTGAGAGATAGCCTAATGAACATAATATATAATTGTACTCACCGTTTGGACATTTTCGGGGTTGCCCTTCTTCTTCTCGTAATCGGCGAATTTTCTCCAATAACCATAGCAATACGGATAACGCTCCAAGAATTTGGTATAAGCTTCGCGTGCAGCCTCTGCATCATTCTGCAATAGAAAGACCAGAATTGTTTAAATAATAGTTCATCTAATAAATTTATTTACCAACATTATTAAATTTATATATCATGGTATTCTTATTTATTTTTGTGATGACATTCTTGTACTACTTTTTAATACTAAATTAAATATTAAGAATAATTAAGAACGATTGACACACAAAAATTGAATTTTAGGATAAAATAAAATTTTAATGTTTTTACTTACTTCTTGATCAACATATTGTAAAAGATATGTCCATCCTGTAAAGTCAGACGGATCTTCGTTGACGGCTTTCCAATACTTTTCTAATTCAGGTAGTGTTTTCTTTTTCGGCGATGCTGGCTTGGTCTCTTGCTTATCTCCCGTATCTGCTTCATTCGATAAAGCGACCTTCTTTGCAGGTGCCTCATCATTGTTCTCAGATGTTGGAGAACTGGGATCATATTCTCCTTCTGCGTTCAATTTACGTTTGGCTATAAGTACAAGAAATGTATAAATAAACGTGTAATCAGTTTCAAACTGTAAAAATTTATGAAATGTCATAGAAATAATACTCACTTCCAGCTTCTGTTTTGGTTTTCTTTTCAGGCGTTTTGTTCAATTTCGCCCCCTTTTTCTTTTTGTCACTGTCCGGTGGTAATTCGTCTTCGGATACAGACTCAGTTTCACCCAAGTCTGCTGGGGCAGCGACTGGCAGTTCTTCGTCAGAAACTGCTTCAGTCTCAGGCTCCTGTGGATTTATTATATAAAATGTAAAAAGAATGTTAATTATATATATCTTTAAAATGTAAATGTAATATAAATCTTACCTTTGTAGTGGCTTCATTCGGTAACTCATCTTCTGACACTGCTTCCATATCAGGTTCCGTTTTCTTCGCATCATCATCGGCATCGTCCTCAACGGCTTCGGTTATCTCTATACGTGGGAGAGAATCACTTTGCGATATTTCCATATCAGGTTCTACCTTGCTTATAACTGTGTCTACATCTTCCGATATTTCTTGTTTTGAATCTTCAACTTCCATAACTTGAATTCTGGTAGCAGTATCCGTGGATATCTCCGAATCTACCTCTTCTGTCTCTAGGATCGTCATTGTATTGCCGTTAATGGCTTCTTTAACTTCATTAATAACTTTTTGAAAATCAAACAGTACATGTTGCTGATTTAAATCATTATTACCGATGTCTTGACCCTCCATCTCAATGTCTTCGGTCAGCATTTCCACTTTGTCCATGCTACTATCCTCTATAATTATGTCTTCTGATCTTATGTTAGAGTGGCCCTGTGCAACAAATTGATTAATTTTAATAATATTTACTTACAATGTTTAAAGATATTTTATATTATGTTATCAATTGATATGATTATAAAATAGCAAGATGCTCATTCATCTAAAAAATTAACAAGAATAAAGGAAAATTAAATCTCAATCTTGCAATTAAACAAAGAATATCTTGTATATTATATACCATGTCTTCTACATCTTGCTCTATCTCTTCGCTTTGACTCATGCTTATCTCATGTATATTAGTGTCTTCAGAATCCTCCAATTCCAAGTGCAACATAGGCGTATCTTCCTCACTGCGTTGTTCAATAATAATGTCTGATAACCGTTGAACTCCATTCTCAGGCATATTTTCCATTATGCCTTCTTCCAAAGTAGGTACTTCTTCCTGCAATCATATGCAGATTGTATCAAAAAGCTCTTTTGACTAATCTAATTCACAGATATCTTTCTTCATAACTCTGAAGGTCACTTTGACCAAACTCTGATTAATTTAATTGATTAACTTACAGAAAGATCAATATAAAAATTTCTAACTACTTCTTCTCATATAATTCTCATATATAATACAAGTTTTAAAATTCTGCTTTTAGTTGTCCTGTAAGTTAATCAACAATTAAATTAACCTGAGTTTGATCGAAGTGGCCCTGAATATATTAAAATGAAAAGAAAATAAAGTCAGACTGGTGCGCTTTACCAGTTGAGTTTATTTCAGTGAACAAATAAGAAAGCACGAGTTAACCAGTAATAAACGCTAAACAATGCCGGTGCAACCGGTTGCGAAAGCTTGCAAGACCTATACCTCAGGCTCTTCGATCTCGTGAATTTTTCTGGGAGAGCGCGTCGCCCTAGCAAGAAGTTTCTTCACTGGTGATTTTTTAGCTACTACTGTCGTTTTCCGAACTCGACCCGACCTCCGTCTCACTGAAAAGGTAAATGAAATATTTGTATTGTTCTGTACATATACAAGACGCCACTTCGAAATGGCGGTCTCGTGGGCTGGGCAATCGCGCCGAGCGCACGTCTTTGACGAGCGATTGCCTCGGCAACGGCCTGGCAATCGATCGGACTGATTGACAATTCGACGGAATTCCTTTCTTACCTGGTTCAGCCAGCGTGAGCTCGGCTTCATCACCGCTTGCAGAAGACATGTCTCGTATTCTTAATGCAATCTCCGGAATGTAAAGCGTAGAACTGTAGTGAACTGTAGCTAATTGCAACGGAAAATGGCGGCACGATAGTCCAAAACAGGCTCGCCAACTAACGCGCAGTTTCGGCAAAATCGGTGCAATTACAAGCGCACTTGTTTTGTCCTTTTTCAAAAAATTTAGTCGCTATTGTGTAATTTACTTTACCAACGGTCGTACATCGATTACTGACAGTTGGTAATATCAGAGAGATATATATTAGTTTTCATAATTGTGATCTTTATATAAATATATGAAATTAAATATTAAAATATTAAAAAATGATGAAAGAATATAAACATTTATATATATATTTTATTCTTTAATAGTACATATGAAATATAACTCATATAACATAAATATTTGATTTAATTGCAAGCACATTGCTTGATGTTTGATACAAGAAGTTAACAAAAGATGACAGAAAAAAATTACAATTTTAATCTTTTAATATCTTCTGGCCGAAAATCTATCCTTAGAGAAGCGATACGTCGAACTTCAGACGGTATTAATCGCCACGCAATAGCATCCGCGCCGCAATAATCGGCGAGTTCCTCCACTTTCTCTATGCTCAGAATAGTAGCAATCTGCGATAAACGCGCAAATTTGTCTCTCACTGACCATGATGTGGCAGCTGCCAAATAACTGGCTAACGATCTTATTTCTTTGTCTAATATCAGACCTCCTGCCTAAAATTCGCAAATTTATTTTATCAACATTATGTTATTTGAAAAACTGGATTAAAAAATACAAGCACTATTTATATATAAGACATTAAATAAAACTAATTATGGAAAAATTATCAATAAAAAAGATTATGAAACAATAGTTTAAATTAGTGTACATACTCGATTAAAAGTCGATTTTAAGACCACCTTCTCTAAACGGGCTGTAACTTCTGCAGTTAGAAGTCCTATAAGTGCATCGTAATTGGAGAGTGATAAACTACCTTTGAATCCTTGAAGTAGTCCTTCCAGGTTCATGATTAATGTCTGTACAAATGGCTCATCTGTTTCGTATCGCAACAATTCATCCTATATAAATCAATCATTATATTTAAAGATAGAAAAGAAATTTTTTTGTATTCCTCTATTGCAGAACACATACTTCATTAATATGATGATCTATAGATAGAAATGCATCGACCCATGGAGTAACTCTAGGTTTCACAGCGCTAACACGTAACTGTTCCAGACCACAATCAATGATGCCTCGTAAAATTAGTACAATTGCTTTCAGACTAGCTAAACAACTGTCGATTTTGCCTCTATCCTTCTTTTGCATATTGGGGAACGTTGCATCTATTTCTGCATTGAGACTTCTGTACAATGTCTCTACATACTCTGTGCTTACATCGGTGTTATTTAAATATGCCTTAAATAAACCACACACAAATAAAACATAAATAATTATTATAGATATATAATAAAATTGTGTAAAGATATGTTTTAATAAATGTGACTATTATATTATCGTACAAATAATGAATAAATTGTAGATTTTGCTTTACCAAGAATGTAAGACGAGCGTATTCCGTGTCTGACGTTTGCAAACGACCATGCTGTATACTCGTCTGGAGAGCGCTGTATGCTTGTGCCAGATCCAGATAACCTGCGGGATATCCTTGGCGTAGTTTATTTCTCAATTTGTTCGCAAACTCGCCTTCTAAAATGCCGCAAGCCATATTGACGACGGCACAGACGCCGTCTATACTCCAACTCGACATAGCGCGCCTATAGAAATTGTATTATTATTTTTTCAATTAATATAAACATTATATTGTATATACAAGTCTAGCCATATATACCGTATGCATTTCCGTACTATGAAGAAAACATCATCAACCATACTGGAAGTTTGCTGATCTGGATCTAATGCATCCATTCCCAAGGCCTTATTCACGCTCTCCTCGAGGAAATATCTCTCTAATGCGAGATAAGCGCCGAGCAATTCCTGCATTCCATGCGCCAACTCAGAATTATTCATAGCCATTTCAAAATCATTGAACAACTCTGTACGTTGTGTTTCATCTGTTGTACTAATCTCTATATCATTCTGCAAATATATTATATGTATATATATACATATATAAGTTTAAATTTTCTTAATTATATAATATATCGCAAGATAGATAATTAATAACTTTCCACATATACCTTAACTCTTCTTTTTAAGAAACGTATATAAAGTTCTGCTCTTGCATGCATTATAGTAATTTCTCCCAAATGGAGATCGAGCTCTTTGGGATCAAATCTTTCAGGATTCGGTTTTCGTAAATATTCATTTACCATTTGTATATTCTTAGATATACATCTATATTTTGTAAATACTGTAATAATCTTCTTGACCTGTCTAAATGTAGAATTAATAATTATTTAAAATCTGTATAAATTGATATAGAATCAGCCAAATAAGCTTACCTATCACATTCCTTTTGTAAAATCAAAATTGTCATTGAAAGTCTACCCGGGCCATAATAAGTTTCAATGATTGGTTGATGTACTTCTATAATACGTGCAATTCCTTCAAATAAGAGAGTCATAGTGTCAGCAAAAATAACATCTGCTCTCTTATCATTATTTTTGATTTCTAGTGCCGCTTGTAAATTCTTCTGTGAAGTCTCCTGTAGCTAATATTAAAAATAAAGGCTTGAATATGTGTGTATGTGTCATCCTCTTTTAATAAAAACTTTATTATTATATTTGGCAAATATGTATAATTTTAAATATAATATATATATATATCTAATACATTTATCACACATACTTTGGTACACAAGTAACTGCAAAATTTCTTTAGTCCTTCTAAATGCATCCCTAATAATGGAAATATCTTGAAAAATCTCTCAACAGATGCCAGGTCTTCAGACTTTACAGCTTCATCAAACTTATGTGTAACAACAGCCCTCAATTCCATTGCAGCTTGTTGCAGGGTAATCAGAGAACTACTAATACTAATATGATCTCCCGATATATCCTCAGCTGTTCTTTCCAGCAATTGCTGATCCATTGCTAAGTAACGATGAACATGAGCAGCACCCTGCTCATAATCTTCATTGCGCAGTGCAGTTGCTACCCCTTCACTGCATAATTGCAAATCTAGTATATCATTTACTCTACTTTGGCATTCGCATACTCTGCTCTATTAGAGAAAATTATAATATTTATAAACTCATGAAAAGTTACAGAGACTATAAATTTCCATTTAAATATGATATTGGTCAAAATAACTTACTCTTGCTAAATCTAATTGCCTCACTTTAGCACTAACATTCTCTGCTAACTCATTGGTACGAATAATCATATCACGAAACTTTTCTCCTTCTGTATGTATTACTATGACATTTGGCAATACTTTACCAATATTTTGTAGCTTTGCTTCTACGTGACATTGTCGAGCAAGGATTGTATCCAGATTTTCCTTAATAGAAACCTGTCATTACATTTATTTTTTGTTAAATATATGATAAATTAGCAATATATATCTAGGGAAAATTCTAATATGTACAGATAAGATAATTATTTATGTTCAACAGCACAATAAATGTAAAATAAATGTAGCTTTTAATTACAAAATATAAAATGAATGATATAATTACAAAATATAATTTGTACACAAAAATTTGCATATATTAAATAAAAATTGATATATAATTCTCCGAACCTCATCTTCAGACAATTTATCCAATATTTGTTGCAGATTTTCTTCATTTACTGGTAAATCCATTACGAATAATGTTTTTGCATTAATTGAAAATTCAATAATTTTTTTTTATAATATATATTAGAGTTGTATTTTTAATTAACATTTTTCACAGACTACACATCATCTCAATTATTTATCACATTGAATGCTTTATATGATACAAGTTGACACGTTGACAGTTGACAAGTTGACACTTGACACAAGTTGACACAATTCAGTCGGTGTGTTCAATTAGGCGACTTTCAGTATGTTTCGAAAAACTGCCTCTAAATTGTCTAATATCCAATAGCCAATAGTAGAATTTGTTTTCGAGCGTTGAAATTGTCAAGAGTCCCTAGAAAGAACTGAACGCGGCCAATGAACGTACGACGCAGGCGCACGATTCGCGGCCGCTAGTGGCGACGAAAAAAGGCTTGATAGTGGTGGGGGAAGGGTGGTCGGGCCTCCCCGCGCATCTTCTACGCGTATTCCCGTACTGAAAATGGCCGCCAGCTGTCATTCGCCTACGAAGTGTGGCTTGTTGTGAAGGAACACGACGCGAATTCGGCGCAGGACGGTTCCCCGGGCGCGCAGGACGCCGCGAGAGCGCGATGCAATTACATAACGACGCGCGGCTCGCTGGCTGAAACCGAACGCGATCGCTTGATTGAGAGAGAAAGAGAGCCCGAGAGAGAAAGAGAGCCCGAGAGAGAGAGAGAGAGAGAGAGAGAGAGAAAGGCATAGAGCGAGAGTAGATAGAGGAGAGCGGGGAAACGAGGAGAATAAAAGTGTACGACGCGCTAGGGACGGGGTCCTCCACGGTGTTAATTTCGACGGTGTGCCATGAGAGTGTGGCCAGTACGGCTGTTTACAGTTTTTATTTTACGCCAAGTGCGCCGTGACTAGTTTGGATCTACGCGGGTTGACGGTGCGGCTGATCTTCCTCCTCTCCTCCGTCTCTTCCTCCTCGACTTGCTCGCCGCGCGAATCGGTCTCGCGACAGCGTTCTAATACTGTTCGCTCGTGCCGTCGCGATACGAGATTCCCTCAGGATTCCTCTCTCGATTTACATTCTACACCCCGAGGACGGTCAAGGTAGGATTTCATTTGTTAACGCGAGATTTTCTTTGAGTAAACTTCCTTGAATAACGGAGTATTACTACTCCATTTGTGTTGAAATGTTTATTTGAATTAAGGGATTTCTTGCTTCATAGCCATATCTCTACATTTTCTTGTATATTTTGGAGTGATAGCATTTTAGTATATATATATATATATATACGATGTTCATAGGCATTAAATTTTTTTATATATAAATGAAATATTTCTACTAAATTAAAGCAAAATATTATGTATCAATATTATGATTAATGCAAAAGGAAAATAAAATAATTACTTTATACTCTTAGATTTTATAACAAGAAACAGAATATACATACTACTATGATTATTCTTATTTTTGCCTTATTTAATTAAATTTTATATATATTTTAATTAAAATTTGCTCCATTGCGATAAAAATTTGCATATTACAATCTAAATAGTCTAACAAGAAATTGACTTTATTTGCAGAAAAGCAACATGGGTTCCAGTCAACAATTCTCTCTTAGGTGGAATAATTATTTAAAACATATTACTTGTGCTTTTGACACATTGAGGACAGATGAAGATCTCGTAGATGTCACTCTAAGCTGCGAAGGCAAAAGGATTAGGGCGCATAAAATGCTTTTGTCAGCATGTAGTACATATTTTAGAGATTTATTTAAGGTAAGCCAATTCTGGTTGTGGTTTATTACTTGTCCATTCAAATGTAAATATATATCTTTTACAATGATTGTTTGTTATATTATAGGAAAATCCGTGTCAGCATCCCGTCATAATATTCCGTAATGTAAAATTCGATGATTTGGCTGCCTTGGTAGATTTCATGTATCAAGGCGAAGTAAATGTTGTTCAGGAACAGTTAGCAAGCTTTCTCACAACGGCAGAACTTTTGGCAGTACAGGGCCTTACGGATGGCACAGGAAAGGATAACGATAGTTTAGTAGAGGTAAGATGTAAAATGATGTAAAATTGTAGGTGAAATATAGATATTTAATAAATATTACTTATATATTATATTATTATCTTTAGGATGACATAGAAATTCCCAACGAGCCTGAAGTTCAACTGCAGAATACTTGTGGCAAATCCACAGGGGACAGTAAGAGGAACAAGTCACCATCCTCTCCAATGCCGTATCATGCCATCGAATTGCAGCCCGAAGTGCCGCCAAACAAAAGAAGAAAAACTCGAGATAGTACGAATGCGAATACGGAAAAGAATTCGGGAAGTAATGCGAAGGATCCCGACGGAAAAACGTTGGAAAATCAGACTGGCCCGGGCTCCGACCCGGTCGAGATAATTCCCCTTATGCCGAGTTTAAAACTGGAGATGCCCGAATACCTGGAACAAGATGGTAGCAGCTGTAGTTACGAGGATCAGAGTATAGGCGACAATACACTCAATAAAATTACAATAGATGACACATCGTCGAACACGCCTGATCACGAACAGAAGCCCGATATCAGTCAGACGTTTTACTCGAGTCAATCGACATCAGACGGTTTGGATGGCAAACATCAATCAGATGTTGGTAGGTATCTTTATACATGATAATATCTTAGAATTTTCAATATTGCTAATTGTGCATGTCTTGATAAGTTTTCAATACAAATGTTTTCTTGTTTGTTAGGACACCTGCTTTCTAAACCAAGTACCTCAGGAGAAAGAGAGTCGCAGGAAGCAGTACAGGGTGAGTGATTGTTCACTTTTTCTTATAATATGAATTATATGATGTAGTCTGTTGTTTTGCCATTACGATAAAATACACATATACATATATGTAATTACAATGGAATTGTTATAGATTCTACAAATTAATATTTATCTTATAAATTATTTTTATATTAAATTTTTGAAAAACTTGTATTATATTTTAAACCATAATTTAAAACATAAGTTATTAAATAAAAAAATACAAATTGTAACTAGGAAAAAACAATTTATCTTTATCTAAATTTAATATTTTATTGCTTATAATAACTATATAAAGAAAGAATTATTGCATAAAGTAAGCAATATATTGACATGTATATAGTGGACAATAATGGCAGTGCAACATACATCAAAGTTTTGTATCCACACATGGTCCACATATATAAAAAATTGCAGTTTTTCTTTATTATTTGGAGAAACACATCTATATACATCTAAATATTTAAAAAATATTGGATGTTATATAAATTATAAATAAATCTTACACATTAATCGCAATTATATAACTATTTTTTCATACACAAAACTACATTCTAACTTTTATGGTGATGGATTAATTGCATGTATTGTGGGTACAAAACCAAAATAGTATTATAAACACCTTGATACATGAAGCGTTAGTATTAATACACAAATATTATTTAGTTTCATGGATTAAGGTTCTGTAACACAATTTCTCAATAATGATAAGAAGGAAGACGGGATTTCTTCTTATTGTGATATTGTGATCTATCAAGTTTGAGGGGTAGTTGATTGAGTTTCACATCAAACTGTGCGATGGTTTGGTAGTCTGTGCAGCTTTGCATCACTTACATGCACACAATGATAATTAGAGAAATGGATTAGGTTAAATCTGAAGAAAATTATAAAATGTTCAGAATGGAAATATTTATTATTGCCTTACAAAATGAGTGATAAAAGTATTTGAGGACTTACTCATAACTTCTCTTTCATCTTTAGATTTGATCTTTGCTAACATAACAAAATGTTTCAAAATAGCAAAGAATTTTAAAATAATGCTTCTTACAAAATTTTATACAAGTAGTATCATGTGTTTTATCGCGTAATATATAATATACTTATCAAAAATTTATTAGATCTTGCTATGCTCTGTAAAATACTGTCGTGTTGCTATTTGATTTTTGACATGATTACTCCTTGCACTGAATTTAATGAAATTGAATTTGCAAGCTTATTATAAGCGAATTTCTAATCATTAACGATTCGGTAAATATTTACGTGATACATTTCCTGTTGTGGAAAAACTACATTTTTTTTCCAAGATCATATCGAGATTTACATCTTTAGTGTACAGAGTGCATGGTGTTTTGGATGTAAATGTATGGTACAGGCACTCGGGTGTAGGTTGAACTGTAGATACTAGTAAGCATTGCCAAGTGCTGTATGTGTGCCGACAATCATCAACATTCCTTTTTTTTAATAACTTGATCAAAGCCACCACTATATTCCTTATGCGCACTAACTGTAAGCATATTTCTGTGTATATACTAAAAAAGAAAAAAATACCTTTTGATGCTGGTTCAAGGAAATTTCTTCAGAAAAATATCTAATTTGTGTGTATAGCGCGAATCTCTTTACACACACATACATACACACACACATATATATACACACGATTTATTTGCATGTAATGTTAATCTTAAATACGTACATTGATTTTCGAACATTAAAATGAAACGCTGTGAGTTACATTTATGGTATTAGTATGTGCTGCAAGAAATCAATATATGAAAAATCTCTCTATTACATTATTTTACAAATAATTTGAGAAACTATTTACTTACATAATATTTATTTATAATAAATTATATTTTTTAATAAAAAGATAACTATACAATTCTTCCGATAAATAAATATCTTTAAATCAAAATTTTATGGTTTGACTAGAATAGGTTTGTCAAAATTTATTTACATTTAATTAATAGCAATATATAAACTTTTATCGAACGTGAAACATTATTTTTTTTAAAAGATGTTTTAAAATAATTTTAATACACAATTGTACAATATAAGTTGGCCAGTAGTATTTGTTATTCAATTATTTCACGTCGAACGTAATTGCGAATTTCGTTTGTATGCTTTTCGAATCGGGATTTTTCCGTGATCTCAGCATCTTTATAAATATAAGAATCGAATATGCGTGAAACTGACAAAGTATAGCGATCATTATTTTATCGCGAGATATACTTTCGCCTAATCTCGTCAAATATGAACTAATAATTTTGAAATAGTCAGATGGTGGTGGTACTCTGGTGACAGTGGCATGCGTGCAATCTTTTCTTAATATTTGATAACTTGAAACCAATTCTTTTCCTCCTTGTATGATGTAACAAACTCTATATGGTAAACATGGGTGCGTGTGGGAAGTACGGCGATCGGGTTGAATCGATACTCTTCCGAAATCCGTTATTTTCTGTCATTATTGTTTGCTTTAGAAAGATTGATATTGACATGTTTTCGCATGATTATGCGAGAAATCCAAGTTCAAAGATAATGTAAAATAAGATTACGTCGGCAGATGCAATGTTCCGCACACATCAAAGTTCATATTTTATTTTATTTTATTTTAAATTATTTATTTTATTTTAAATTGTCTAAATTTATATCAATAACTTTTTGTATTTATATAATGCACATTCACGAGAACAGATGAATTTATCTCTTTTTTTATAAAAAAGAAAGATCAGATGAATCTTATGTAACATGATAAAAGAAAAAAGTTTGAAATTTATTTATATTATCATCTAGATCAATTTTAAATTTCTTATAAATTTCACTAATAAATGTTTAAAAAGGATTATTATGCTTCTTCAATTTAGTAGAATCTTTTTCGTCATTATTAATTAATCATACAGATATATTCGAATTAAAATAATTCGGTTGTAATCACGAGCGATAAAAATTTTACGAAAATGCATAAATCAAAATCAATAACGGATTTCGGAAAACTGTCGACGTCCGATATGACATTTTCCTTGAGAATCTCACGTGTCTAAGAATTGTGGGGGAATATTTCTTGACCAGACTCGAAATTCTTTGGTTGCCAATATGTATACAACCGAGAAAGAAAGAAAAGAAAGACAAATAAGAAAAGAGAGAGAGATGAATATTTCGGCAGGTAGGTAATCCAAGCAATCTCACCAACGATTGCTATAAAGCAGAAGCATGAATTAGCTAGTAGAGAGTCACGAAGACATCAAAAAGCTTGTTCCTTCATTGTTCAAGTGCTAATGTTATTATCTGATAACGCGCGACCAGGATTGCGTTTCGTCTCGATTCATACATGCGAATGTTTTAATTCGCTTTATATAATTCACAATTGTAAATCAACTTATAAATACAGAATGAACTGCGGATTGCATTCATTGAATACTTCGGATTTAGAGTAATCAGAAGCATATTATTAGCGGCTTGGGATTAGAAAAAGACAAATATTTAATGCTATCTATTCTTATGCCATCAAATCGTATAGTATCGATATTGATTATAGTAATTTGATAGAATGACTAATATATTCTTTATTTTTTAATATTTATCTTCTTTCTACTTTTAAATTATGGAGGACACGCTTATTTTCGGTTTATCTACTTCCAAGCCTTTATTATCATTCGTTTCTCTATTTCCGAAGTAAAGTACTCATTATGTTTGAGACTCATTTCGTTGATATGCGGTCGATAGTCGTGTGGCATCGCGAGATTCACGACCCATCGTTGCTGAAGAAGTCAATGAAAAATCAAACAAACACACCGAATGATGAGTGCTTGTATGAGAGAGTTTGCGTTTCGCATTTGTAAGAGTGAGCCAATTCGTGTAATTCGTCTCTTATCGAAAATCGAATAATAATATGAACGATGAATATCATAAAGATGATGGACGCGCGGCTTTCCTATCCACAATAGAAGCAAATTCGTCGAGGTATTGATCTTTCGCGAATCGCGCAGCAGGAGGTCGACGAAGATGTTCACCGTCGAGAAACATGAAAGGCTGGACACGCGAGTCGACGAGCATCCTAATCGATTATAAATAATCAGCGTCGTCATTCCAGTGTCATCGACCGCACGAAAAAAAAATCCCCTTTCGAAGAAGATTTTTTATAGATGACCATTAACGACGGAGAGAGAAAAGGCAATCTTCTTCGGAAGCTCCTGCGACGAACAATGAAACCTTCGAAGACTATATAATTAACAAAAAAGATAATTTAAATTATTTTTATCATTGTTTCTGTTATATTAGAGAAACAATCTCGATGAAAAGGTCAGATGAAACGATCGAAAGATTGGTCAAGAAAACGAAGTTCCTCGGAAGTGCTATGTATTATAATCCACATGTGTTCACGTGGATTCGTTTCTTCACATGTCCACGTGTTAACCGAAAGGAAAGCTACTGTTATGCTCCATAACGAACCCCGTAATCAGTCCAAGCATGTGTAAACAGTCGAACAGATCAATATACAGGGGAGTATCAAAAGAAAAAAAAAAAAAGCGTGATCTCTTCCC